GCGTGGACAGCGCAGAGGAAGTAGATGAGCTTTGTCTCTCCCGTTCACATTGACGCCGATGGCGATGGAAGAAATCAAAAGCTCCTGGTTGCATCGCTTCACTGCTCTCCATTCCATCTTCTTCCTCATCCGAAGACGATCCACTTTCTGTGTTCTCATGGATGTCGAAAGCAACAGTTCGCTGTGGTTTGGCGGCACCTCCATCTGTAACAGTAGTAGCAGCTGCGTTGACGGTGGACAAGGTAGAGCAGGGCGGGTTCGGGGCCAGGGAAGGGGATTTTTCATCCTCTTCCCATGGAAAGTAGCAGCGTTGGCGAAGTTCTATGGCATTTCGGCAAATGTGGCAGTGGGTGAGACGCAGTCCACACTCCTCGCAGCTCAAGTGACCACACGGAACGAAAACGCACTTTACAGGACGGTCCATGCATACGCGACACTTTACTTCCTCTCGACGCCAGCGTTGGAGCATCTCTTGGACTTCCTAAAGGAGAGAAGAATTAGTTTTCAAACAACCTAGCACAATTTATAAGAGCAAATGCTGTGTTCTTGCTAACAAATTAACTTATTCATTAGTTGAAATAAAAGTAGCGAAGTGCGAGTTTGTGTTTCCGCGGATTTGTATTGTCAAAAGTGCCTTCGCAGTTGCAAAAAATCCTGACCAATTAAAAACCGATGGTTATGAAAGAATAAACTCATAGTGAATCCAAAAGTGCTTGCTGAACAAATAACTAAGTAGTTGAATTCGCTTCAATCATGGACAATAATTATGTTCCCTTTCTCGTCAAGACCACTCAATTTCTTGCATCCTCCTGCCGACATGATTCCCTTTCTATTTCCCACTAAGAGATAGCAGTAGTCCAAAACCTTAGAGTTAAAATATGAGAGTTGTCGAGTATTCTTCCCGCATTAGTGAATAAAAATCGCTTCCATGAAAAGTGAATCTATTGCTTCGCCCCACCACGGTTGCGATGGCAGAAGCGATTATTCAACGTCAACCGCGATGAGGCCACCGTGACTGCTTGACCCTATCCCTTGTAAATTAGCAGATTGAAGAAACTTTGTTTAAAAGTTCATTTCCCAAAAATTGCCGAAATTCCGGGAACCAATCTCAACACAATTGTTACAGTTGGTTTCAAAATTCACTGCCCCTAAGCTTTCTGTCTCTAAAATGGACCTCAAAAGGGGAAACAATATTCCAGTTGAGTAAGCAGCAGGAGGACTAAACATTCCTTTTATTTTGTTATGTGTTAGATCACCATCCACTACAGATTTGATCCAGTAACGGTTGTCAAGGTGAGCTGAATAATCTTATCGATGATTACACACCAGCTTGACGATAATGCATTCCCCACCAAGGCCTCGGAGGGGAAACCTCCGATGACAACCCTTGCAACCACTTATTTTCTAGGCCAGGAGTACTCCTTTGATGCAGTCCAGCATGCATGTACAGACAAAGTATATGCGTCACGCACATGTGACTCTGACAATGATGCAAAGTTTGTGCGGAGGAGAGCTAGAGAACTCCGGTTATGCGTGCTTATGGCCACCAGTTAAACGTGCACTTCCAAAGCTCCCTTCCATAAACCTCTATTAAAGAAGGGGAGAAGTCTTTACGCTTTGGGAGACATACTTACACCATCCCAATTACCATGCTAATAGATGATTTTTTTGGAAAAATGAGAATAAGCATCTAGTAATCCTCAATTTAAAATCCATGCACAAAATGGAAGATTTTTAAGTTGCAATCCAATTGCAGACGCATTCTCCAATTCTAATAAACGATAAAAACCCGATGAGAGGTAGATTCAGAACTTATTTAGGTATGGAATGGCCCCTTGAAGCCCTTTCTCGACTAGACTTCCGGTCCTGTGGAGTATGGAACAGTCCTCAGGGCCGATGCTTCCTCTTTCATTGGCAACTGGCCAAACTAATGGAGCGTTTGTCAATGTTTAAGCAATTATCAGATGTATCACATTGTAGAATTGCTACTAGACAATGTGGTCATTCCGCCAGCTTGCCTACCTGCTTGCCCGCCCGCCTGCCTGCCTGCCTTTATCCTAATCTCAAGGTTTCCCTGTTCACGCACCAAGCGAACGGACACTGCGTGATGCCTTGCC